CCACCAGGGCTCCTTCCCCTGCTCCCAAACCCGCTGCCCCTGAAAGCCAGGTTGACCCCCGCCAAGGCCCACCCGGTGTCCATGACTGTGGCTCCCAGCCTCAACTCCTGCGCGGTGCACAACCGTGTGCGCGCGCGGACACCCATGTATGCCTTGGGGTAGGCGCTGCAGAGTTAGCGGTTCTTGAAGGGGTTGTGAGACCACAGAAGGAGCAGTGGCCTTGTGCACAGGAAACAACTCATGAATTATCCTGAACTGCAGATGCAAAAAATCGCGTCCAGTTGGCCCTTCTTGATGCTTGAGGCGCTGCAGGCAGGAGCGGCAGTCTTCAACAGATTTTCACTCAGCGCTTCCTTGGTGCCTTGTACTCTTCTCTGAACCAATGAGCCCCCAGCGCCCTGGGTCTCCCCTTACCATAGGGGACTCAGATGATGGCTTTCTTTTGGGGGTCCTCTCTCCCAGAAGGGCTTGGGCCAGCATTCAAAATGGTCAAAAATTAGGCGGGCATGATGGCTCAACGCCTGTAATCCCAACATTTTGGGAGGCAGAGGTGGGAGGATCACATGACGCCAGGAGTTCAAGACCAGCCTAGGCAACATAGCAAGACATTGTCCTCTACAGGAAATGTTTACAATTAGCCATGTGTGGTGGCATAAGCCTGTAGTCCCAGCTACTTGGCAGGCTGAACTGGGAGGCTCACTGAATCCCAGAAGTTAGTGTGCTAAGATGGTGCCACTGCACTCCAGCCTGAGCCACACAGCAAGATCCTGTTTAAAAAAAAAAAAAAAATTAACCAGAGGTCAGGTGTGGTGGCTGACGCCTGTAAGGTAAAACGTAGATTGGACTGCCAGATTTATCATGGAGAGGATTACACTGATGATTTGAATTGGGCTTTCAGGCCTGAGTAGGACTTTGTCAGAAGAAGGCTTTCCAGGTATGAGAAATAGCATTTACAAAGGCACTGGGTGCAGAAGGGCTGCTGTACTCTGGGGTAGCTTCAGCTTAGGGTGAGGGACAGGAAGCTGGATGCCAAGAGATGAAAAACGAAGGTAGAGATCAGACCAAGAGGCCACATGGAGTCGGGGGGGGTGGTGACTAGAGGCAAGTGTGATGTAGCAGGCTCACTCTGAGGCCATTGAAAACTCCAGATTCAAGGGGACATGGTTGCAGTGGTCCTGCTGGAGGGCTAAAGAGATTTAAGACAGTGCAGTGAGCAGCATCCAGGTGCATGGAGCCAGCCAGACCTGCCTTTGGGTCGTGTGTTGCTGTTAATAGCTGTGTGACCTCATTCGCATTTCCTCATCCATGAGAGGAGAGTCGGGGCCACCTGGGCATAGGGTAGGTGTGAAGACTGAATGGCAAAGCACTCAGCACTGAGTGCCAAAGGGTAGGAAGTCACAGGTTTGTGTTGGCTCTGGTACTGGGAGATGAGGAGGGCATCAGGGGTAGGATGGGTAGGCGCTGCTGAGTGAGGAGGAGTCACGAATGACCCAGGTTTCTCACCTGGGTGAAAGGATGAAGGATGAATGGGGCAAGGAGAGTAGGAGAGAGAGAGATGAGAGACTAGAAAGGAAGACAGGGGTCAGACAGGCAGAACCGTGGTGGCCACACTTAAGAGTCGACATACAAGGTGTGAACTTGAGGTAAGAAATTAGACCTGGCACGGTGGCTCACGCCTGTAATCCCAACACTTTGGGAGGCCAAGGTGGGAAGATCACTTGAGGTCAAGAGTTTGAGACCAGCCTGGGCAACACAGCAAAACCCCATTTTTTTTTTTTTTTTTTTTGAGACAGAGTCTCACTCTGTCGCCCAGGCTGGAGTGCAGTGGCACCATCTCGGCTCACTGCAACCTCCACCTCCCAGGCTCAAACCATCCTCCCTATCAAAACCTAACAAACACATTACAAGAAAAGAAATTATACACCAATATCCTCCATGAATATGCATGTGAAAATTCTGAAAAAAGCCAATCAGATTCAACAACATATAAAATATTTTGAGTCTCATCATGACCAAATGAGATTTATTCCAGTAATGCAAGGCTGATTTAACTTTAAAAAAATCAATTTATAGCTGGGCACAGTGGTTCACACCTGTAATCTAGCACTTTGAGAGGCCAAGGCAGGTGGATAGATTGAGCCCAGGAGTTCGAGACCAGCGTGGATAATATAACAAAATACAAAAATTAGCTGGGTGTGGTGGTGCACACCTGTAGTCCCAGCTACTCCGGAGGTGAGGCTGGAGGATCACTTGAGACAGGGAGGTGGAGGTTGCTGTAGTCACACCACTGAATTCGAGCCTGGGCAACAGAGTGAGACCGTGTCTCAAAAAAAAAATGTATTTTACCAAAAGCAGAATATAAAAATATAAAAGAATTATCACCCAAATAATATAGCATTACTCATATGTTAATGTATTATAACATATGTTATGTATAACACATATAAAAGAAAAACCATATGATCATCTCAATAAATGCAGAAAAGGCATTAGGAAAAATCCAGCATCCATTCATAATTAAAACTAAGCAGGCCAGGTGCGGTGGCTCACACCTGTAATCCTAGCACTTTGGGAGGCTGAGATGGGTGGGTCGTGAGGTCAGGAGTTCGAGACCAGCCTGGCCAACATGGTGAAACTCCATATGTACTAAAACTATAACAACAAAAAAAAAATTAGCTGGGTGTGGTGGTGGGCACCTGTAATCCCAGCTACTCAGAAGCTGAGGCAGGAGAACCATTTGAACCTGAGAGGCAGAGGTTGCAATGAGCCAAGATCGCACCATTGCACTCCAGCCTGGGTGACAGGGCGAGACTTCATGTCAAAAAAAAAAGAAAAAAACTAAGCAAACTAGGAGAGGAAACTTAATGAAGATGCCCAAGCTGATGAAGGGCATCTATGAAGAAATCTTACAGCTAGCATGATAATAGTGAAACGCAAACACTTTCCCCCAACCTCAGAATGAACAGAGGATGTACATACACACTCCTACTCAACATGGTACGAAGATCTTCCCCAATGCAATTAAGCAAGAAAAGGAAATAAGAGGAACCAGACTGGGAAGGAAGAAGTAAAAGTGTCTTGGCTTACACACATTATTATCTATGTAGAAAATCTGATAAAATCTAAAAAAAAAAAAAAAAAGCTATGAGAACAAATAAGATTTTAGTATGGTTGCAGGATACAAGATGGCTATATTTCTGTGTACTAACAACAAACCACTGGAAATTTAAATTGTTTCGACCAGGCACAGTGGCTCATGCCCGTAACCCCAGCACTTTAGGAGGCCAAGGTAGGCAAATCATTTGAGGTCAGGAGTTCGAGACCAGCCCCAACATGGTCAAACCCCATCTCTACTAAAAATACAAAAAGTGAGCTGGGCATTGTGGCGCACACCTGTAATCCCAGCTACTTGGGAGGCTGAGTCAGAAGAATCACTTGAACCTGGGAGGCGGAGGTTGCAGTGAGCTGAGATCATGCCACTGCACTCCAGCCTGGATGACAGAATGATATCCTGTCTCAAAAAAAAAGAAAAGAAATTATTTCATATACTGCAGAATGTCACTTCAATCCCTAATAAAACCTTCCCAAGTCAGGCACAGAGGTCCCAAGTTGAGTCAACATCTGACTTTTTCTCCCAGCCCCCAGTGCTGTTAGAGGCTCACGCCACAGTAATTTCTTCTCCTGTCCATACCCAGTTGCCGTTTATGGAGGGGTTGAGGCTGTGAGTGTTGATTAAACTGCCAGGGAAATTTTGTAAAGCAAGCAAAGGCCCTGAGGTCAGAAGCCTGGGAAACAGCAGGACCTGGGGCAGGGGGAGTTGGAGAGGGAGAAAAGAGACGAATGAGGAAGCCAGGGAAGCATGATGATTAACAAGGTAGGTGCACGGTTCTGAAGAGACCACTGAGCTGGCCACGGGGGGCCCATCCATGGTGGTGCCCCAAAGCCCCGCCACTCTGCTGATACATCCCCCAAGACCAGGCTGAAGCAGATGGTCCCTATCCCAAGACCAGCCATGCAAGGACCCCTCCCCCCAGCCTCTACATCTCTAGGAAGAGACCACAGCACATTCTTATCCTTTCAGTATAATCCTGGAAGCAATTCTTCCCAGCCAGAGCCAGGGCTGTCACTTCCTGCCACACCCCAGGTCGATGGGGACCCACCTTGCATGATGGCAGGGTCATGATGATGGCCCCACCATCAACCCCTACGCATGGCCCTAGGGAGCAGAGAACAGGACAGCCTGGTGCTTCCCACCCCCTCAGGGTGAAGAAACAGCTTCTGCTGTCAAAGATACAAGCCTCCAGGGAGGGGTGTGGGGTTGGGGAATGTTCCCAAGGAGTCAGTCTCCCCTGCAGAGGGTGATCTGAGTTCTTAAATCGTCAGATAGGTGCTAGCATCTTCTCAGATCACATACCTGGGGTGCAGGCCTTGGCCTGGAGTCAGGGATGGATGACCCAGAGAGAGCAGAAACCGGCAGAAGAGCAGGAATGGGGAGATGGGGAAGGTTCTCATGGGACGTGATGGGGATTCCATGCAGTTACAGGCTCCTGGGAGTAGTGGGGGTGGGGAGGCCTGGGGAGTTAAGAGTTTCTTGAATCAAACCTGCATTCAAGTCATCACTGCAGCTATGATCAGCGAGGGGGCCTTGGGCAAATGGACCTGTCCCAATTTTTTGGGTTGAATCAATGAGATGAAGCAGGTAAAGTGCCCAGGCTACAGAAGCGCCCGGTCATGGTTGGGGTACTGCCAGCAGTCACGGTTTTGGGGGATGGAGATGGAACAGGGAGCCTCTGAGGAGGCAAGGCAAAGAGTGGAGAGTGGAGGAAGCAGGACTGGAGGATAGGCGAAGGAGCAAGGAGGGCAGAGCAGGACGGTGAAGGGATGGCTAGGGTTAGGGTAGAAAGGGAGGGCGAGAGGAGGTGGCGGCTCCGGAATCCCTCCCAGACTGTCCCTTACCCTGCAGTTCCCTGCGCTCACCTCCTTCCCCCTGCCAGGTACCCATGGATTTCCATGCTGCACCAAAGGATCAGTGGAGATTGCAGAGATGCGGTGAGAACCATCCCTCATCATCGCAGGGCCTCCCCCGAGCCCTCCAGGACCTCCAGCCTTACCCTCAACACCACCAATACCCCAGCCTAGGATCTCCCTCCCTTCTGCCATTTCCAAAACCTCCCCAGGGGCAGCATCCAGGCCAAAAGGCTGGGGAGGCGTGGGGTATCTACCCTCCCCCTCTGTTTCTGCCCTTAGCCCCTGGCATGAGAGGAAGGCTGAGGGGTGGTGGGGCACACCCAGGGACGGGATGGGACTAACCCCTGAGAGATGCCTGGCTTGCTGAGGACAAAGCTGCCCAAGGCAGGGTGGGCAGGCACTGAGGAAGGAGTGGCAGGTGGGTGGGAGGACATCGCTCTGGGGCTCCCCTGCTGGGGACTAGTGTTCTGGCGCTAGTCCTCAAAATGAGTTGCCCTAGCCTGCCTGCAATACTTGATACAAATGAAGGTTCCTGGGCCTTACCTCCAACCAACTGGATTCCTCTTTAGGGGCGGGGCATGAGTTGGCAAGGAGCTTCCTAAACTCACTAAAGTTTCGGAAAACAACTCCAGACTTCCTGGTGGCAGCACAGTGGGACACCAGGGGAGTGGATGAGCTGGTGGCAGGGTGGTCGGGGGCAGGGGCATTGTGCCAGCCTCTGTTACAAGGCAGAGGGCTTTGAGGGCCCAGAGACCCCCTTCCCGCTGAAGCCGCCACCCACCCCACGGATCCCCATCACCCACTCTGTCTCCTTCTGTCCTAGAGATGACTTAAGTCAACACCAGATACAAGAAGAACAGGAGGTAAAAATGGGGGTGTCCTCCTATGGGGAGATGGTAGGCAAGGGGCAGGGCTCTTCCTTAAGTCCCCACCAGCCCCTACCCTTGACAATTCTGGGACCCTAGTACCAGGCCGGTGAGGGTACACACACACACACACACACACACCCCTTCATCAGGCAGGTCCCTGAAAGGAGGTAGGCGCAAAGGTGATGAGGGGAGACCAGGGCAGGGGAGGGGCAGGAACTCGGGGCCAGGGAGGGCCTCAGGGGCAGGACCTCCAGCTCCCGCCTCCTCAGCTTTGAGGTGAAACATTTCAGCTAGAGGCAGACGCGCTAGAACAGAAGCCCCAGCCCAAAGTGGACCTGGCCCCAGACCCAGACCCAGACCTGGAGATGGAACCAGTGCCGTCTTTACTGGAGTCAGAGCTGTACCCAGACTTCAAGCCTGAAGCTGAGCTGGACACAGAAGCCAAGTGGAACAAGGAGGCTGGCTTCAAAAGATTCCTGCAGCCATTGTGCAGGATAGAATCCGTCCACTCCAACATAGGGCTGCCCGTGCCGCAGACCTTCAGACCGCGGAGTCTGAATTCAAGCCACCATAGTTTCACAGAGGAGAAACAGGTGTCTGCCAACCACTGCTCCATCAGCGCACAGACCTCCAACCACCTCTTCTGGGCAAACAAGCTCATCCAGGCCTCAGAGCACAGCCTGCAGCGGGCCATCCACACGCAGCTCAACAACACCAGCACAAGCCAGCTCACCAGAGCCCCCGGCCGGGCGGCCGTCACCACCAACACCCTGTGCTCCGAGGAGCAGCTCCAGACCCCCAACGCCCGCTCAGCTCCTCCAGCCGCAAGCTCCCAGGCGCCACCAAGCCCCCTCCTGCCCTCAGATCTCCCGCCACCCATCGGCCTAAGAGAGCTAGTCACCTTTGCATCTTCCCTGGCCATGGCCTCCTCCAGCAGGATGGACCTGCCCACTTTGGAACACAGGATGAAAGCTCCACCCCAGCAGGCTCCAGAGCCTTCCACAGAACGCGTCCTGACCGCTACGAAGGATGGAGAGCCAGAAAAGCACACAGAGACCCTGCCGGGAAAACCATGTGAAGCCAGAGCTCCACAGAAATCTTGGAGTCAGGAAAGCAAGAAATTTCCTCACTCTTACCTTGACTTCAGCAAGCCAGGGATCAGGAAAGCCACCATCGAAGGGGAAATGCAGCTTCTCCAGCCACCAGTCACGTCCCCTCCGCTGCAGGGAGTCAACGAAGAGTGAGTGAGGCCAGCCCTGCAGCTCCCCCAGAGGGGCTATGGTGGGACATGGGGGGCTCCTCACAGCCAGGTAGGGTGGGGACAGTGGAATGAGGGCCTGGGGAGAGTGGAATGAGGACAAGGTGGGCTGTGTGGCTCCACCTCCATGACCTCACAAAGGCTGTTGGAACAAGGTTCCGGTGGACTCAGGAACAGAGCCAAGGCGAGGGCTGGAGGCCTGGGGACCAACGAGCGTGAGCCCAGGGGCCGGGTTCAAAAGGGAAGGACCATGCTGGCATTAGGCAGCTTCCCACCCTGGGGGTCAGGCCTCAGCAAGGTCGGAAATGCTCAGGCTGGGGTCTGCCCTGCTGAGAGCCTGTTGGCCCCAACCCTGGGGTCCAGGACATGTCTCTCAAGGGGAGAACGAGGGTTCAGGGCTCTCTGGGACACCTTGCTTTCTGGTGGCGAATGGACACAGAACGCAGGCAGCAGCAGAAGACCCCTGACCCCTAGTGACCTCCACAGAGGGCCTCTGGGCTCACCCCTCTCCCTCACCCACCCTCTGGAGCCCAAGTGACACTCTGTGTTTTGTGTTGCAGCTCAGTGCCGGGAAAAGAGAAAGAGAATCCACTATTGGTGAAAATCCATTTTAAGCTGTCGGCCCCACACATCCCAGAGAAATGACTAAACAGAACCAATAAAGCCTCCAGTGCTGGCCATCGGCTCCGACTTCTATGCAAAGCCCCCTGGGCCAGGGAGCCCACCTGCTGTGGGCTGCTGTGTCCTGCTCTGTTTTTTTTAGGGATGCCACCCATTTTTTAGCTGCCCTAGCCCCACCTGCCCCCAGAGGGCAGCACCACCCCTCTCCTAGCCACCCATCTGTCACCTGTCACCTGAAGGGTCAGTTCCTCTTCACTCCCTCCTGGTCAGACCTCTAGGCCAGCAGAAAGACTTGTGGCTGGTCTTGAGGAGACCTCGTTGTCCTCTGAGGCTTTCGTTTCTTTGACTGTGGAATGAGGCTTCCTCTTGGCCTGAGGCCAGGGATGTGTTGGGATCCTCTGCAGAGACAGCCTCCTGGGTGTGGGCCTGGGCAGGTGGGAAAGTGGATCTGCAGGGGTTCTTCTTGCCCTCTTCATAGGGAAGGCCTGGCATGGGGAAGGGATGGTGTCCAGGAGCTTGAAGGGGAGGAAAATGAGGCCGAAGGACTGGTCCTCCAGTGGGGCACAGGCTGGGGCTAGAAGTATCTCAAAAGCAGGAGAGAGCCCTGTGTCACCCAGATGTGTGCACACAGACACCACCAGCTGCCCAGCACATCACACATACAGCACTCACACACGGTAGAAACAGCACATGCCACACACGTGTGCCTGTGACCGTCACATGTACCAAACATGCACACAAGGCCAGGTGCAGTGGCTCACTCCTGTAATCCCACACTTTGGGAAGCAGAGGCCAGCAGATCACTTGAGGTCAGGAGTTCGAGACCAGTGTGACCAATACGGCGAAACCCCCCCACTCTACTAAAAATACAAAAATTAGCTGGGCGTGTTGGCATGTGCCTGTAGTCCCAGCTACTTGGTAGGCTGAGGCAGGAGAATCTCTTGAACCTGGGAGGCAGAGGTTGCAGTGGGCTGAGATTGCACCACTGCACTCCAGCATGGGCAATAGAGCATGACTCCATCTCAAAAAAACAAAAGCAAAACAAACAAACAAAAAACATACACACCAATACACACACCTCCCACCCAGGGTTTGACCTTGGAGGCCTGAGTACAGGCAGTGTAGACTGGCTTCTGGTGGAGGAGAGATGGCAGCAAAGGAAGGAAGGGGATTCAGAGTGCACGGAGGGACAGGGATGTGGAGAGGGAAGCCTGGGGGCAGGGGGAGGGGAGGCCTCGCCAAGGCCAAGGCCCCAAGGCCGGGGCTCAGTTTCCCTTCAAGTGAAAGCCCAGCATTGTGTATCTTCAAGAGCCTGCCCAGCTTTGGGAGGGGCCAAGGAGAGAAATGCCCAGGGCCTGGAGGGTGGGATTAGGAAGGGGTGAGCAGTTGAGAATAGGCCAGGGCCAGAAGGAGAAGCGGGCAGGAGACAGGAAAGAGGGACAAGGAGGAGCTGCCGAGGTGAGTCTGGGGGCAGTGGGGACTGGGCCAGAAGCCTCAGTGGGCTCTCAGGACTCATCTTTCCATAGCTTGTTTTTAATTAATAGATTTTATTTTTTAGAGCAGTTTTAGGTTTGCAGCAAAATTGAGTGGAAAGTACAGAGTTCCCATGCACTCCTGTCCCCACCCACATACAACCTCCCCCGCAATATGGACATCCTGCAGTGGTGCATTTGTTACAGCTGACTCATCATCATCACCAAAAGTCCACAGTTCACACTGGGGTTCCCTGTTGGTGTTCTACAGTCTATGGGTTTTTTGTTGTTGTTCTTGCTGTTTTTGGGACGGAGTCTCGCCCTGTAGCCCAGGCTGGAGTGAAATGGCGGGATCTCAGCTCACTGCAACCCCTCTGTCCGCCTCCTGGGTTCAAGCGATTCTCCTGCCTCAGCCTCCCAAGTAGCTGGGACTACAGGCACCCGACACCGTGTCCAGCTAATTTTTGTATTTTTGTAGAGATGAGGGTTTCACCATGTTGGCCAGGCTGGTCTTGAACTCCTAACTCTAGGTGATCCACCCACCTCAGCCTCCCAAAGTGCTGAGATTACAGAGCACTTTACTCTGGAGCCACGGCACCTGGCCCGTTCTATGGGTTTTGATTGTGGTATGGTACAGAGTCACTTCATTGCCCTAAAAATCCTGTGCTCAGCCGGGTGCGGTGGCTCATGCCTGTAATCCCAGCACTTTGGGAAGCCGAGGCAGGCGGATCACTTGAAGTCAAGAATTCAAGACCAGTCCAGCCAACATAGTGAAACCACATCTCTACTAAAAATACAAAAATTAGCCGGGTGTGGTGGCAGGCACCTGTGATCCCAGCTACTTGGGAGGCTGAGGCAGAATAATTGCTTGAACCCAGGAGGCAGAGGTTGCAGTGAGCCGAGATTGCACCACTGCACTTCAGCCTGGGCGACAGAGCGAGACTCCATCTCAAAAAAAAAAAAAAAAATCCTGTGCTCTACCTGGCCCCTATAACTCCTGTCAACAACTGGTCCTCTTACTGTCGCCACAGTTTTGCTTTTTCCAGAATAAATTGGAATCATATGGTATCCAGCTTGTTCGGGCTGGCTTCTCTCACCTGGTAATACACATTGAAGCTTCCTCCATGTCTTTTCCTAGCTTGATCATTTATTTTTAGTGGTAAATCCTATTTCATTGTCCGGGTATGTCACTGTTTGTTTATCCATTCACCTCATGAAGGACATCTGGGTTGCTGCCAAGTTTTGACAATGATGAATAAAGCTGCTATAAACTTCCATGCGCAGGTTTTTGTGCAGATATGAGTTTTCACAACATTTGGATAAATACCAAGGAGCAAGATTGCTGGATCATGTGCTAAGGGTGTGTTTAGTTTCGTAAGAAACTGCCAAACTGCCTTCCAGATTGGCTGCACCATTCTGCATACCCACCAGCAATGAATCAAAGTTCCTATTGTTCCATATCCTCACCAGCATTTGGTGGTGGGAGCGTTTTGGATTTTGGCATCTGAATAGGTGCATAGTAGTATCTCATTGTTTTAATTTGCAATTCGCTGAACATATGATGTTGAACATTTTTTCATATGCTTACTTTCGTTTGTATATATTCTTTGGTGAGGTGCCTGTTCAGATCTCTTTTTTTTTTTTTTTTTAAGACAAGGTCTCATTCTGTCACCCAGGCAGAGTGCAGTGGCTCGTTGCAGCCTTGAACTCCTGGGCTCAAGTGATCCTCACCTCTCAGCCTCCCAAAAAGCTGGGACCAAAGGTGTGCACTACCATGCCTGGCTAATCTCTTTATTTTTTGTAGAGATGGGGTCTTGCTTGTTGCCCAGGCTGATCTCAAACTCCTGGCCCCAGGCAATCCTCCCACATCAGCTTCCTAAAGTGCTGGGATTAAAGGTATAAACCACCACACTTGCCTTTTCCCCATTTTTAAAAAATCAGGCTGTTAATTTTCTTACTGAAGAGTTTTGTTTTTTTGTTTTTTGGGACAAGTTTTCTCTCCCTCACCCAGGCTGGAGTACAACGGCGCCATCATGGCTCACTGTAGACTTGAACTTCTGGGCTCAAGCAATCCTCCCTCCTCAGCCACCCAAACTGCCGGGATTTCAGTACTGAGCCGCCATGCCTGGACTTACTGTGAAGTTTTAGGAGTAATTTACATGTTTTGGATAACAGTCCTTTATCAAGTGTGTCTTTTGCAAGTATCTTCTCCCAGACTATGGCTTATCTTCTCATTCTTTTGACATTGCCTTTCACAGAGCAGAAGTTTTTAATTTTAATAGAGTCCAGGTTATCAATTATTTCTTTCACAGATTATGTATTTCATGTGTATCTAAAAAGTCATGGCTATACTCAAGCTCAATTACGTTTTCTTCTGTTATCTCAGAGTTGTATAGTTTTGTGTTTTACATGTAGTCTACGATCTACTTTGACTTAAAGTTTGTGAACTGTGTAGCTCTGTGGTCTAGATTCTTTCTTTGTGTGTGTGTATGTGGATAAAGATCCTGTCATTTTCAAACTAAGACAGTTTTATTTCTTCCTTCCCAATCCGTATATCATTTGTTTCCTTTTCTTGTCTTACTGCATTAGCTAGGACTTCCAATATGATGTTTAAAAGCACTGCCGGGCGAGGTGGCTCAAGCCTGTAATCCCAGCACTTTGGGAGGCCGAGGCGGGTGGATCACGAGGTCAAGAGATCGAGACCATCCTGGTCAACATGGTGAAACCCCGTCTCTACTAAAAATACAAAAACATTAGCTGGGCATGGTGGCGCATGCCTGTAATCCCAGCTACTCAGGAGGCTGAGGCAGGAGAATTGCCTGAACCCAGGAGGTGGAGGTTGCGGTGAGCCGAGATCGCGCCATTGTACTCCAGCCTGGGTAACATGAGTGAAACTCCGTCTCAAAAAAAAAAAAAAAAAAAAAAAGCAGTGCCTTGTTACTGATCTTAGCAACAAAGCTTTGAGTTTCTCACCCACCATTAGGTATCATGTTAGCTGTAGGTGTTTTGTAAATGTTTGTTATCAAGTTGAGAAAGTTCCCCTCTTTTAATGTGTGTTAAATTTCGTGAAATGCTTTTAATGCATTTATTTATATGATCTTGTGATTTTTCTTCTTTAAGCTATTGATGTGATGGATTATATTAACTGGTTTTCAAACGTTGAACCAGCCTTGAATTCATGGATGAACCCACTTGGTCATTATGTGTAATTCTTTTTATACATTGTTGAATTAAATTTGCTAATATTTTGATGAAGATTTTTGTGATCATATTCCTGAGAGATATTGATTTGTTAATTTTTTGACAATGTCTTTTTCTGGTTTTGGAATTAAGGCAATGCTGGGCTTATAGAATGAGTGAGAACATATTCCCTTGGCTTCTATCTTCGGGAAGAGATGGTACGGAATGGATATAATCTCTTCCTTGAATGTTTGGTAGAATCCACCAGTGAGTCCATCTATTCCTGCCACTTTCTGCTTTGGAAGCTTGTTAATTATCATTGATTCGATTCAATTCATTTAATAAATACAGGCCTATTCAGATTGTCTGTTT